ATGGCCATTTAATTCACTAGTAATGGCGTGGCAGAGGTAACATGTGTTGTCTTACGATAATGACTTATGATAAAAGCACACGTCAAATAAAAGCATTGTACATTGCTCTATTTTTGTTTTTTTTGTTTTTTCCCTCTCGCTGTGTACGTAAACTCTGTAATATTTAAGACATACAAACTCTATGTTTAAATATAGAGATATGTGAATTAAATAGAATGGGAATAGTGGGACAAAATTTAAAAACAAAGAAGAGAATTAATAAGAGGGACCTCCCCAAACTTCATTAACTTCACCATCTGAAACATCATTTAAGGCCAGCACGAAATGTATGAGTCCTACATTACTGCAGCCTTTCCTTCTTTGCATCCTCTCTCTCTCTAACAAGCTGGTAATAGTGGGACAAAATTTAAAAACAAAGAAGAGAATTAATAAGAGGGACCTCCCCAAACTTCATTAACTTCACCATCTGAAACATCATTTAAGGCCAGCACGAAATGTATGAGTCCTACATTACTGCAGCCTTTCCTTCTTTGCATCCTCTCTCTCTCTCTCTCTAACAAGCTGGTAATAATAAAAATAAATAAAAATAGTATACTTGTAAAAAAAATTCGGTGGAGGATTGTCTTCGGTCTAATCTGCATTGGAAGATATTGTTTGGGCGTATAAGACTCACCACAAGTCTTATTTTAATTATTTAAACAACTTATTTTATTAGACATTTTGTGCATTTTATCCACAAAAAATAAAATTGATATGATAATTGTAACCTATGCAATTTATTGTGTTGTCACAAAAAAATAGATGATTTATTTTTCAAAACACAATTGTTATTCGTGAAAAACAAATAAATTGAATATATTACGATTATCGAATCAATCTAATTTTATTTATGGGTAAAATACACAAAATATCTGACAAAATTAATGATTTGAAACATTGAAACGTGATTTGTGGTAGATTCCAAGGATCCAAACAATAGAGACCCTCCTCCGCCAAATTTTATATAATTTTTTTTTTTATATTTCAAATGACTTTACACGAGTATTTTTTTTTTTAAGGATAAATTACAAAGGGATTGAGAAAATTATAATAAACTTCTCAAGTTTAACATATATAATTGTGTTAAATTTTCTTAAAATGTTATTTCGCTTACATAATACTTATCTTATTTTCCTTATTAATTTTGTAGTCATATGCAAAAGAAAAAAATATTGTAGTCATATGATTTATATTAGAATTTATATTTCAAATTATCTATTCTTATGCATGCAATGCACACCTGCGACAAATGATATTAAATTTTTTATAAGTTATTGTATTTTTTAGGGAAAATTATTTATAAGTCCTATTAGGGAGACTTATGTTACATATGGTTCTACTAAAAAACTTATGTTCCCATAAGTCTTGTGGAAAGTTTGTTGACACATTTACTCTCAATATTAGTTGTTAATGTTATAAATAATAGTAAAATCATATATAGAAAATTGAATGTTATCATAGATCATATCTATATAAACGTAACATAACGTGACACCTACATAAACGTAACGTGACACCTATGATCTATGGCAACATGCAATTTCCTATATAAGAAATTGCATGTTACTATAGATCATATCTACATAAACGTAACATAATGTTACACATACATAAACGTAACGTGACACCTATGATCTATGACAACATTCAATTTCCTATGTAGGAAACTGAATGTTACCATAAATCATATTTATATGAAACGTAATGTGAAACCAACAGAAATCAGTAATTTTTTCACATTCAATTTAAAAAAATAAAAACTCATTAAGTTTGCGAAACGTAACGTGACACGTTATGTTACGTTTATGTAAGTGTCACGTTATGTTTATGTAGCTGTCACGTTACATTACGTTTATATAGGTGTCACGTTACGTTACGTTTATGTAAGTGTCACGTCACGTTACGTTTATGTAGGATTTTGTGGAATACATTTCTATTTAAATAGGACTTAAGACTCTATAAGAAATTACACAGGACTTAGCCTATTATAAGTGTCTGAAAAAAAAACTTATAAATAAGTCTTCCTATTTTTTAAACCTTAAATATGATTAGTGTAATTTATCTTTATTTATTTATTTATTTATTTTATTTTTAAATTATGATTCACAACCTGGATCTTTTAAGGAAAAATTACAATTCAATCTCACTTTTCAAAAATAATTACACAATTATGAAAGTTTTTATAATTTTAATTATTAATATTTATAAAATTTATCATTGATTTGTAATTATTTTTTTTTCAAAAAATCACTAATTTGATATTTCTCTATCTTTTTATTTGAAATAACAATATAATATTTTATTATAAAAAAAATTAATTTATAAAAAATTGAAATAACAATATAATATTTTATTATAAAAAAATTAATTTATAAAAAAATTCGGAAGTTTGTAAAGATGGCTGAATTTGCGGGAGTTTTTTTGCTGATGGTGACATTAGGTCGGCTGCCCCACAACCAAGATTACAAAATAGATTCCTATGTCCCATTTATTTATTTATGTATTTTTATTTATATTTATTTCTTTTCTGAATGTTATTCAACCGTATATCTGTCGCCGGAGGACCCAGTAATTTAGTACACATCCTCCTCCTCCTCTCTCTCTCTCTCTCTCTCTCTCTCTCTCTCTCCTACATAAGTCAGATATTTGAATTGGAAGCGTTTATTTTAAGCTTATATTTCATCCTGCTCTTCTTTTAAGTATTATAAAATAAAAAAATAAAAATAAAAAACTCAAAATTTGACATTTGTTGTTAATTTAAATTTTAAATTTTTTATTTATTTTCAACTGATCTAACTATTTTCTCCAATTTTTTTATATGAATAAAAAATTTATATTAGCGAGAATCTACCGTTACGTAAATAAATTTGATGCATATAAAATTTTTCAATTTGAGCTACATTTTGGATATTTTTTTAGGTATGCAAGGCATATCATATGCAATCCCCCCTTGTACATTTCTCCTTTAGGTTATATAAGTTTGTATTAGAAATTATACAAATTTGTGTTAGCACTTATATATTGTTGACCTGCTAACACTACAAGAATTAACACTTTTAGCAACAAAAAAATTAGTCGCTAAAAGTCTATTTTTGGTCGGAAAAAGTTATCCGCGACCAAAATTTTTGGTCGCTAGTTTGGTCGCCAATTAAGGGTCGGCAAAAGTAATTCGCGACCAAAATTTTCGTTGGTCGGCAAAAGTTGGATTTGCCGACTAAATTTTTGGTCGCTAAATATTTAATTACCGCGACTAATTTATTTTGTCGTTAAAACACTTTGGTCGCGAAAAGTGATATTTTTCCGACCAAATTTCTTAGTCGCCAATTGTCACATTTCGCGACCAAATTTTTTGGTCGCCAATTATCACGTTTCGTGACCAAAACTTTTGGTCGGCAAAAGTGAGTTTCCACGACCAAGAGCTGTTTTGGTCGGCAATAGATGAATTTTTTGCGACCAAAACTCTTGGTCGGCAATTATCATTTTTTGCGAAAAAAATTTATTTTGGATGCCGCGACTAATAAATTGGTCGCCAAAGCAGGAAAATAATACACCTGTAATATTTAGCGAATTCATAATCAAAACAGGACGAATTCATAATCAAAACAGGTCTTATTATAAAATTTTCTATATCAAAGTTTCAACACATAACTCAGCAGCAGCAACATTGATTCCAAAAACAAGGAACGATTCACAAAACCCTATTCTAAACCCCAAAAACCAAAAAACAATTCATTCCAACAAAAATTTAACATAATCAGCATCAATTTCAAAAAAAAGAACATCTGGCGTTAACAAGGTTGAGTATTGTTGTTCTTTTTTATGTAGGGCATCCAGCTCCTTTTTGGCCTCTGCAAATCTCTCTTTGTCGTACGCGTCAACAAGGTAAACTACAGAATCCACCTGCATGATGATCAAAAATTATATACTATTTGTGAACAAAATTCAAGACTCTTTGTCATATAAATGAGCTGTGATTTGTCCTTTTCGTGCCTTGACAGAGAAAAAAACTAATAGCAATAACAATAACAAGATGGAAAAACATTTATTCAGGCAGTAGTTCATTTAGCCAAAATTCAGCCCTGATACTCAGAGAGTCTTGCATAAAATTTTTCTATCATAAAAACCTCTTCTGCCCTGATACTCATTCCAATTGTATTTTCTGTGATTAATTTTGTGATCGATAGTGTTGTAGAATTATTGAATTTTTATACTTTTTCTCTCAACAAATTCTATTAACAAACTCCATTTTTCCATTAGTACAAAAAAAATTAGTGCTAATAACATAGTTGTGGACACACAATCACACAAATGATCTCCCTGTCCAGTAAAGAATGACTAACAAAAAACAAATTCCACAATTTAGGAAGACCATAATCAATGCTCAAGGGTCCCCTTCATAACATGGTTTAAAAAGAGGTAATAAATAAAAAGACAGACTCACCCTCACTTCTTTTATAAAGTCGATTCTCATAACTCCAATCTACACATCACAACCGGAGACAAACAACACTTGTCATCATGTCAGGTTACAACCTCACGCAATTTAGGAAGGGTTAATAATAAACATACAACGATAATAAATTAGCAAACCATTGGTGAAGACTACTTTTCATTAATGCTCAATCTAAAATTACATCGCCCCTCCAAAACTTTGCTAGCCTTGATATCCATGTGTGACAACAATATTTTACACCCTGCTAACCCTACAATCTAACTAAGCATACAGAGCATGCTATCCATTCGAATGGTTTTCAATACTCAAGCTATTGCAAGGGACAGTAATAATTTGGTTGTATACCCTTTCACTTAATGAGTGTGAAAATAACTATACCTGCCAATCCCGTTAAGTCGGATATGTGATACACAACTTCGATTTCCATCATTCACTCACTTCTTCCCTGATGCAAATCTTCGCCAGAAAGTTTGTTATCTGTACTGCCCGTGGTAGCAACTGCTTCTTCCTGGATAAATGAGATGGTAATCAAATGGTCAGAAATTAATCTTACATTCTGATGAAACAAAAACAGTGCCATCCATTTATTTGATTTTGAGACCCTTGCAACACACCCAATTGCCTGAAGGGGTAACGGAAGAAAGAAACTGCTTGCAACACCAAAGACTGCAACGAATAAAAATAACTACCAATTTTTTACCATTACAAGTTATTATGTTATCACCATACTGGTGAATCCTACCAGGAAGTACGGAAGCATAATACAGATAAAACAGAGGGAATAAAAGTTGGACACAACAACTCGATTCAATAAAAGGCCTGAAGTCCTTTGATCTTCCTTGGAGTCCAAATTAGAAAGATTGCCATTCACAACACGATAATCAGTGCTGGATGAATTGGTCATACCAGTCAAAGAATTAGGGCTTCCATTCTTGGAATCACTTGACTCAACTTCATCTCCACTTTTCCCTTGAACTGAAATAGCCTCTTTCTCATGTGCTCCATTCGTTTGAGTTACATTAGCAGCTGCCTCTTCAGCTTTCTTCTTCTCTTCCTCCCTTTGTTGTCTCCTCCTTGCTTCTTGCTCCTTTAATTGTTTAAATCTGGGTAACGCCAATAACTTGAGACCAAAAACAAGATTTGCCATTGCAACAATGCAATCATACACACACACACACACACACATAAGTATATATGACGAGCAATGTCATATATTAAACAACAATGTCATCATATTACAATAAATCAACAAGAATTAACCTTTCACCAGGACAGAGCCCCTCTGAAGTTGACTTTTCCACTTGGGGTTCCTTTATGATGGTGCTGGTTTCAAAAACAGATTTCTGAATTTGGGATTGCTCCTCCTTCTTAATGATATTATCACTGAATTTACTCACTGGATTTTTTGTAACCCCTGATTTTTGAAGAAATACTTGTTGTGCCATGCTCAATATGTTATTAGTGAACCTGCACAAAACATAAGTATTTAAAATTCTTGAACATTCGTGGAAGTTAAGGTTACTACTGATAGAACGAGGGAAAGAAAAGAAAGGAAAAAAAAGACATTTTATGGTTTGATCTTGATCATGCTTTTTAGTGTAGTTTCTCTGACAATGTTGTGGCTTCCACCATTTTGATAAGATAAAGGAAAATGTATGACAAGATAATGAACAATGCCATAAGCAGCTACATAATCATGCATTTTGTTATTAACAAATTATGTGCCATTATTAGTCCTCCAGATTTGATAGGATGTGGAGAATTGATTTTTGAGCATGAGCCTTGAAAACTACAAAGGCAGAGAACACTTTAGTTTTAACATGAACATGATAAATTTAAGAAAAATTGGTAAAATCATCAATAAACAACAGATAGTACTTATAACCAAAATTTCAGGGAGAAAATGGAAACTACAAAGGCAAAAATCAGTGGAGACTACCTCACACGGTTCTGAAGAATGCTGTACCTAGAATGAGGGATGTGAGTTCACTAAATGTGGGATTTCTTGATGGCAAGCATAGAATGTGGGATTTCTTAATGTTTATAGCAACAAAAGGCTTTAATGGAAAGCTCAGTGTTGGTTCTTTTCTATGCCATTGCCCAAAAATGGAAATTGTGAGGCTGTTGTCTCTCCTCCACTCCAAATTCTGTTTGCAGGTGAAGCAACACATAGAACCCATCATTCAACTACTCATGGAGCCTATTTCAGTGGCCTTAGAGAAACCAATAGGCTTCTTCAACATTATCATTGCAACGGGGTATGAGAGTTATTGATGCACCACTACGATCGGAACAGTAAGCACTTTTTTTTTTTTGTTTTTTTTGTTTTTGGGAAATAAATATGCTTTTGTTTCCAGCATCATCAGATATAGAAGAAGAAGCATTGCAATATATTCTTATTCACCTAGTGAAAACATAAATATCTTGGTACAAAACTACTCATTTCCCATCAGCAGTCACTTAATGCAATGTGTCCCTTGCCTGTTCTTTGTTATGATATTCGCTGACAGAAAAATATATATATATATATATATATATTTGGTGTACTCAAAATTTTCAAATGCAATTGGACCACAACTCAGATCATCTTGTCAATCAGAAGATGTTTGGGGTATGTTTGTTGAGGAGCAAGGCTAGTAAAAATATATTACCATGTATGATTGCTCATAGTTATAAGAAATCGAAAGACTAATTGATATGTTATGACATCCTATAAATCATGGAGTAAATTTTTTTTAATATTTTTTTTGGGTACAGAATGATGGAGTAATATTGATTATAAATCAGAAAGAGTAAAAAAAAAAAAACTCCTTACTTCAACAGACAAGATGCGCAGAACTGAAGAGCATACCTTTCTGGCTCCATAGAAGGCTATTATTTATGAAGGGAAGCAAAGTTTTGCTAAATACTCTTCCACTGCCAATCAAAAGAAAAGAGAAACACCTTACTAAAATAAATATTGAAATACACTAGTCAGATAAATGTTTCAAGTATGATACTACACCACCAAGTAACTTCATTTTTTGACAGTGTTTAATGATCGAAACCCAAATTCAAATACACAGTAACAATCCAAAAAATGAAGTTGAGTAACAATCCAAAAAAGTTGAGTATATTTCCACACAAAACCTATATGTCACTTCAGTCCATGCAATTGTGTAATCAAAATAATGGTTATTAATCTCTTACACCAACAAAACAATTGATAATCAATATGATCATAAATAAAGAAAAACCCACAAAACAAAACATGATGAATGAAATCAAGAGACCCACATTCAGTTGACAAAGAAACCAGAACATATTGCCAACACTAGTTCCCCAGTAATATGTAACCTCTGTTTGGTTGCTGAGAAAAGGCCGGAAAAGAGAGAAAATTCAAATCTTCGTAAACCAACAGATTTTAAAGATTTTGAATTTCTTTCACATGTACCCATTAAATCGGCAACAAAAATGGAAGGTGAGAGACCCAAATCATTAATCGTAAAGATTAATCACATCGAATGGAAATTAGGAGATAAAATAAAAGAAAAATTAAGAAATGGACAGAGGCAGATCCATCCCCACCACCAGTTCTGCCCACCAATCTAACATCCACTCCTAGCCAATCCTCTCTTCTTCCATAGCCCTAGAAATAGCCCTAGGAAAACGTAGAAGCCCTAGAAATAGAAATGAGTCGAGTACCTTATCAGCGGCATGAGAGTGAGGCTTCGAACGAGATTTCTTAGAGGTTGATTGGGGAGGCTTTGAAGCTTTCTGAATTGCCTCTGGCTGTGTGATCGATTTGACTTCGGACTTTCTCTTGTGAAAGTAGTTCCCGAACACAGCGAGCGCGATCTGGGATCCTACAACGACCGAAACCACAGCAACAGGAACAATTGAATCCATTTTTGTTTGCTATTATCTGAATAAACAGAAGATTCAGATATGTATGAGTGATCTTCAAGGTTCGGAATTAGGGTTTAGCTGCAGTGAGTGTTCGTGGATTATCGAGTAGATCAGAAGCTACTTTTGTATCTTCAAAGACAACGATCCTCTGTGTTGAAGGTCATTATGCGAATGAGGGACCACAAAAACCTTCAAGGTCTCTGAATCCCATTCGTTCCCTTCAAGGGAGATCAGGCTTTAATTTTTTTCTGAAATTCAATTCCCGCCCCACGTTTCAAATTTCCCCCAAACTTTTGGCGACCAAAAGATCAAATTAGTCGCAAAAATAGATTCTTTCGCCGACAAAAATTTTTAGTCGCCAAATCTCAATCAACGGTGACTAAAATATTAGTCGCTAAAAGTACTAATTTGGCGACTAATTTTTTTTGGTTGCTAAAAATAAGTTTTTCGCGTTCAAATTTTTGGTCACCAAAAAATATGTGACCTTCCGCGACCAAATTTCTGGTTGGTCGGCAAAAGTATACCACTTTCTGCGATCAACTCATTTTTTGGTCTATGGGCTGTTGTTTGTGATTCTGCTGGTCTATGGGCTGCTGTTGTGTGATTCTGGTGGTCCCTTAGGCTCTCTGTGGTGTGGTTGTTTGTGGAGTGTTTTGTTGTTTTTTTTCGCTCTGTTTGTTGGTTTCTCACCAACTTGGAGCCTTGAGTGTGTGCTAACAGATGATTTGGTGTGCGTTTTGGTGCCAACCTAGTTGGGATCTAAATGTTTCACTGTGATGCTTTTTGCACCCTCTTCTTTACTGATGTAAGGATCATCTTGTTATGTTTTTCCATCAATAAAGATTCTCTTTTGCCGATCAAAAAAAAAAAAAAACTCATTTTTTGGTCGCCAAAATATAACCTTTTGCGACCAATAATATATGGTCGGCAAAAACAATGATCATTCGCGACTAATTAATATTTGGTCGCCAAATGTTATTTTTTTGCGACCAAAATTTTTTTGGTTAGCAAAAGTGGTCGCAAAATGTGTAAATTCTTGTAGTGTAAGCAGTTGAACTAATACGTAAAACTATTAAAATAATAGCTTATATAATATATGTGTAAGTATTTTCACAAAAAAAGAATAAGTTTTCATAAAAATAGATAAATCTTTACAAATTCCGTAATTGATTTCACAAAATGTATAAATTTTTACAAAAATGAGTAAGATTTTTCAATAATTTAGCACAACGCAAAAATGAGTAAATCTTCACAAATTATGTAAGTGATTTCACAAAATACACAAATTTTTATAAATATATGTAAGCTTGTCTGTAAGTGACTTCACAAAATGCGTAATTTTTCTCAAATATGCGTAAGTTTGATTCAAATAATTTAAAACAACCCAAAAATGAGTAAGTTTCCACAAAATTCATAAGTAATTTTACAAAATTCATCAGTTTTCACAAATATTCGTAAGCATTGTTCAAATAATTTAGAACGACACAAAAATGTGTAAGTTTTCACAAAATCCATAAGTGATTTTACAAAATTCATAAGTTTTTACAAATATACATAAATCTGATTCAAATAATTTAGAACAACACAAAAATTAGTAAGTTTTCAAAAAATTCGTAAGTAATTTCACAAAATTTACAAGTTTTCACAAATATGCATAAGTTTGATTCAAATAATTTAGGGAAAAAAAAAATGAGTAAGTTTTCACAAAATCCGCAAGTTTTCACAAATATGGGTAAGTTTGATTCAAAAAATGTAGAGCAACATAAAAATGAGTAAGTTTTCACAAAATCCATAAATGATTTCACAAAATTGGTAAGTTTTCAAAAATATGCGTAAGTTTGTTATCAAAAATTTATAACAACACAAAAATGAGTATGTTTCACAAAATTCGTAAGGGATTTCGTGAAATGCGGAAGTTTTCACAAAAATGCATAAATTTGTTATCAAAAGTTTAGAACAATATAAAAATAAGTAAGTTTTTACAAATTTGGTGAGTGATTTCACAAATTGCACAAGCTTTTAGAAAAATGCATAAGTTTGTTGCAAGTAATTTAGAACAACACACAAATTTGTAAAATTTCACAAATTCCGTAAATGATTTCACAAAATGCGCAAGTTTCACAAAAAATGTATAAGTTTGTTTTTAATAATTTAGAACAACACACAAATGAGCAAGTTTTCACAAATTGTGTAAGTGATTTCACAAAATGCACAATTTTTCAAAAAAAAAAAGCGTAAGTTTTCACATCAAAAGTTTAGAACAACACACAAATGAGTAAGTTCTCACAAATTTCGTAAGTGATTTCATAAAATGCGGAAGTTTCGCAAAAATGTGTAAATTTGTTTCAAATAATTTAGAACAACACACAAATGAGTAAATTTTCACAAATTGCATCAATGATTTCACAAAATGCGTAAGTTTTCAAAAAAATACAGACGTTTTCACATCAAAAGGTTAGAACAATACATAAATAAGTAACTTTTCACAAATTCCGTAGCTGATTTCACAAAATGCGCAAGTTTTCACAAAAATACATAAATTTTCACATAAAAAAATTAGAACAATACAAAATGAATAAGTTTTCACAAATTCTGTAAGTTTTTTCAAA